TAAGAGAGAGAGAGAGAGAGAGAGAGGGAAGAAAAAAAAAAAGAAATCAGGTATAGGTTGAGAAATGTGGAAATAAAAGGTGGGACAGTGATTGAGATGGAATGAGAGAAGACTTGATAGCAATGTGTATCATCAATTGACCTCATTTTGTTGAATTTAACATCGCATATTACCAAAATTGGATCAATCTTATTTATGTCAACATTTTCGCCATTTTGTCTCTTTATAACTTTCTCGTTTGATATTATTTTTTAAATAAATCACAATAAACATCATTAATTAATTATTTATTGATAATTTAATAAGTAATTTAATAATCAAAAATAATTTAATTAAAACAATAAATAATTTTAATTTGAAGTTCAAATAACAAGATATTTTTTAAAGAAAAATGAATAAAAATGAAGTAAAAACAGAGAAAAAAAAAGCAAATGGGAAATTAACAAATATATTTTACAAAAATATGATAGATGAATTTTTGTAAGCTAGTATGAAATTTTTTTAATTTTGTAAAGATTTTAATAAACTTTGCAAAGTTTTAATTTATTGAAGAAATTTTAATAAATAATTTTCATAAAATTCGCAAAAAAATGTGAAGTATAGTAAATTGGTGGAGTAATCTATTTTGATACATTAGATATTGCTTTTTAAAAGTTTATAAAAGATTTTAATAAATCATTTGAAATTTAAAATGGTGTCATCAATTGTGGTCAATTTCTGTATTTTCTAATCAATCTCATTTATACATTTAAGCATCTTTGTGATATTTTAAAGCACATTTGTAGCTGGCATATTTAGCAGTTTGTGCTTATTTCTCTCCTTTTTTTTCCCATTTATTAAAATAAAAAAAAGAAAATTTTTATTCCACATAAAACTTTAATCATTTTTTGCAAATATCAAATAAAATCAAATAATATAAAAATCGACATTGATTGATTTGAATTTGAAATAATTTTTTAATATTCATTAACATTTCAATACTATAATCTTGTATTGATGATTTTAACGAAAACAATAAACGACAAAAAAAAAAAATTAGGGGGGAGGAAAGGAAAAAAAAAAAGGATTGTATTATTTATTTGACAAACTTGTAGGTGTATATGTAGACGTCATGTATTCAGTTATTACACTCAACAAGTTCTTTTTTTTTTGGTTTTTTTTTTTTTTTTTTTTGCAAGTTACTTTCTCCTCTTCATCACATCCCATTGAGATTTTTTCTTTGTGGCATGCATTTATCGCTGGTTTGAAACGAAATCAACCAATGGGACAAAAAAAAAACGAAAAAAAAACTTCTTTTGCCTTTTGTTGTGATTGGCATTTTTATATCCATTTTCATCACGAATTTTTTTGTTCAAATCATATAAGAAAGATATTTTATACATATTGATCGATCAACGATCAGTCAGAATTTTTTGTTATCTCACAAATCTGATAATAAAAGGGAAAAATGGAAGAAATAAGAGGGACATTTTGATTCGTTCATTTTCAATTTGGAATGAATAAATTTATGAAATATTTTGTGAAGTTTATTTTATTTAAATATATTTTTGCGATTATTGTTAACATTAATGGATTAAATATAGATCTGTTGACTGGATTATACCATAAACCATCGAATCAGTAAGATATGGCAAGGATTACAGGAAGGACGGTTGAATGATTGAAAAATTCGTATAAAATTGATGTGCCTGAACAGTAAAATGATTTCATCTGCATTAAATAATGATTGAATAATCGAATCAAATTTGATAATTGTATTTAGTAACTAACGATAGCTTACAGATTTATCTTATGGAAATTTTAAATTGAAACTTCAATTATGTTTATTTCGAAGTTAGAATTATAGTATAATATTCAAAAATTGGAAATATATGAAAATGGAAAAAAAATTCACAATATTTTCTGATCAATCTCGTAGAAAGGAGAAATGATGACACATACCACCTAGACACCTGCCCATTTTGTGTCCAATTCTAACATCGTGATCTTTGGCCAATTTTACTACGCTTAAATTCATTGATGCAACCGATAGTATGATGATGATGTTGTAACTTCCAACACATCACACGATTAAATTTCATTTTGCGCATTCTGTTGTCTTAACGATGACATAGGAGTGCAATTATCATTGGCTTATTTTGCAAACTTTTTTTTTTTTTTTTTGCTATTACTATACAATTTTGATTTATATTTAATTTTTTCTTTTACAAAATCAAAATTTGAAAAGTGACATAAATACAATATACCCTTCCGACTAATTCTACATTTGCTCACCACCACTTATTTTTTTTCTCTCTCTCTCTCCCTGTATTTCCTAATTTTCTTTTCATTTCTGCATCATTTATCTTGTTGGTATCCATTCGTGTTAAATCATCATCATCATTATCATTGTTATCCTTATTATCATCATCATCATCATCATCATCATCGTCATCATTATCATTATCATCATTATTATCATTATCATCATTATCATTATCATCATTATCATTATCA